TTTTTTTTTTTTTTTTTTTGAGACAGTTTCGCTTTTGTCACTCAGGCTGGAGTGCAATGGCGCGATCTCAGCTCACTGCCACCCCCTGGGTACAAGCGATTCTCCTACCTCAGCCTCCCTAATTGCTGGGATTACAGGCACCTGCCACCAGGCCCAGCTAATTTTTTTGTTATTTTTAGTAGAGACAGGGTTTCGCCATGTTGGCAAGGCTGGTCTCGAACTCCTGACCTCAGGTGATCTACCTGCCTCAGCCTCTTAAAGTGCTGGGATTACAGGTGTGAGCCACTGTGCCCCACCTGGTAATGACATTTTCTAAAACTCCAAGTGCTGTCAGACCTCACAGGCTAAAAAATGCTGGTGGCAAAGGCCAGGGAGGCTTTGGAGGGCAACGAGGCTTCCAAGGAGGCAGAGGAGGAAGAAGAGACCACAGCTACAGGAGAGAATATGAAGTTTGAAAAGCTTCTTCTATCCTTGTCTTTTCCTCATCCATTTGAAAGGACTTGGGTTTTTACTCTGTGCCTGATCTATCACAGAGCCTTCTGAGGACATTCCAAGACAGTCTACAGTCCTGTGGTCCACTTGGAAATTCAGACAGATAACATTTCAAGGGGAGAGTTGGTTTTGACTGAACACTCATGAAAACTTTTAAAGAAGTGAGTGACAGAGGTAAACCACATCTCTAAGTTTTGTTGGTTTTCATGTTTTTTATTTTTTTGAGAAAGGGTCTTGCTCTGTCACCCAGCCTAGATAGAGTGTGGTGGTGTGATCACAGCTCACTGCAGCCTCTATCTCCTGGGCTCAAGTGATCCTCCCATCTCAGCCTCCCAAGTAGCTGGGACTACAGGACTGCACTACCACTGTCTCTTATACACATCTAGATGTGTATAAGAGACAGACTTTACCCAGTCTCATACTAATCACTCATGAATGTTCTGGGATTGTCTGGCCTGGATTACTTGCCGTTACTGAATAGACAGACTGAAAGGCAGAATCTCCATCACAACACCCAGAAGACAGAGCCAGGAAAATACTAACATCACTATGATGGGATGAACTTCTAGAGTCTACAGAAACCCTTCTCTTCCAGCCATGATAAAGAGAGAGAAACAAGTTTACCCTTCAGCCTTATAAATAATAACCAGCAAATTGGGCAAAATACATGAAACAACCGTTTTCGGATACTGGACAAGAAAGATCACACAAGACTGTGAACTGCGAGAGAAGGAAAACAAAGTGAGCCCCCCAATCACCCCTGCTTTCTGCCAGAAGGCAATGCCAGACGGGAGCCTGTGAAGCAGGAGGGGAGAGCCCACGCACAGCACAGCGGTCCTCCCTGCGCTGAAGAGAGAGGGATCAGGCTCCAGGGAGCCTGAAATAGTTAGAAACTGTAAAGCAAATTCTAGAAAGGAGGGAGCGAAGCAGAAAAAGAATTTCAGAAATATGCAGGGGGTCCTTATGAGTCTTCACTGAACACTAACACTCGCACAGGTAGCATAAAACTCCATGAAGTCAGGCAAAGAGAGTAACCTGGGAACTGTCCACTGAACAGTTCTGAGAACTCACATGTGGCTTGGAATCCACCACCAAATAGAAGAGTTTATGGATTTGTCACAGTCGTAAGTTCCTGGAGGGTAGAAATTATGCTCATCGGTTCCTTGGGATATATTTACTAGCAACTCCTGACAGAAGGCCACATCTTAGTAGTGAGGCCAAACTATCCAGAGAATAAAAAAGTTTTTTTGGCTAGGCGCGGTGGCTCACGCATGTAATTCCAGCACTTTGGGAGGCTGAGGCGAGTGAATCACCTGAGGTCAGGAGTTTGAGATCAGCCTGGACAACATGGCGAAACCCCATCGATACTGAAAATACAAAAATTAGCCAGGCATGATGGCGCACATCTGTAGTCCCAGCTATTCGGGAGGCAGAGGTTGCAGTGAGCCGAGATCATGCCACTGCACTCCAGTGTGGGCAACAAAGTGAGCCTCCGTCTCAAAAATTAAAAAAATAAAAAAATTTAAAAAAAAAAGGAAGGAAGGGAGGGAGGGAAGGAACAATCTCTGTGATCTCTGGGACAGTATCAAGTGGTTGGACATACGTGTAATTGAAGTGCTGAAGTGGTGGAGGTGGGTGGAAGAGGAAGCAGAGCAAAAAAAATCTGAAGAGTAACAGGTGAAATTTTTCCAGATTTGATGAAAACTATAACTCCAGAAACTAAGAAGCCTCTAAAAAATCCCAAAGAAAACACAAAGGGGTAAACACAAAGAAACCACCCCCAGCCACATCAAATTCCTAAAAACAATGATAAAGCAAAATCTTAAAAGCAGCTAAAGAAAACGGCATAGAGTAAAGAAGAACGACCACAAACCTGTCAGAATCATGTATGTCAGAAGTCAACAGAATGATACCTTCAAAATGTCAACCTAAAAGTCAACACTCGGTGAAAATATATTTTTAAAAGGAAGGTGAAATATAGATCTTTTCAGACAAACAAAACCTGAGCGGCATCACTGCCAAAAGACCTGCATTACAAGCGATGTTAAAAGAAGCCTTTCAAGCACAAACAAAACGATGCCCAGTGGAAACGTGAACGTACACAAGGGATGAAGAATGCCAGAAATAGTAAATGAGTGGGTAAATACAGACTTTTTTCTCTCATTTATTAAAGTTCCTTTAAAAGATAATTGTTTAAAGCAAAAATAACAATGATTTAGGGATACAAAAGTAAAACTCTGGAACAATAGCACAGAAGGAGGAGGAAGGGACAGAAGTATATCATTATAAGAATCTTACATTAAACACACTGAGTGGTACCCAGTCCGGGGTTAAAATAATGAGCCAAAAAGAATCCAAAGGGCACATAATCTGCCATTAGAAAATCAAGTTCTGACTACATGCTATATTCTTAAGTAATCAAAGACACAGGAAGGAGTTCAGTCTTTAAATGAATACCGCTTTAGGGAAACAACCTTCAGCTGAGGTTTAGAGTCTCTACTATTTCCTACAAAATACTTACTAGTTACAAAAGGAAAAAGAGTAACTTTACAGTCAAGAAGGCTGGGAGACAGTATCTTCCATGTTTTCAAAGTTAACATCATCAGTAATGAGACAAATCAAAACTGTACGCCACCTCACAGGATACGATTAGAATACAACGTCCTCTCTCTGGTATTCCTGCCAAAGAATGCATAACCTGAATCTTATCATGAAAATACATCAAATTAGGGACCTTCTACAAAATAACTGGCCTGTAATCTTTAAGTGTCAAGGTCATGGAAGTCAAAGAAATAATGAGGAACCATCCTAGACTAAAGGAGACTAGAGAGACATGACAGTTAAATGCAACATGTGGTACTAAACCAAATCCTTTTCCTATAAAGGACAGTTTGAAGACAACTGGAGAAACTTACATGGGGTCTCAGGATTGGATAGTAGTAATCTAACAAGGTTAATTTCCTGATTTTCATAGTTGTACTACAGTTATCTAGGAGAATGTCCCTGTTTGTACAAGATACACATTACAGTATTTGGGGGTTTAGGGACATCAGGGCAGCAACTTACTCTGAAATGATTCAAGGGTCTTTGTAATACACTGCAACTTCCCTATGGGTTTGCAGTTGTTTTACAATAAATTTTTTTAAAAAAAGAGAGTTCAGGCCAGTGCAGTGGCTCATGCCTGTAATCCCAAAACTGTGGGAGGCTGAGGTAGGAGGATTGCATGAGTCAAGGAGTTTGAGACCAATCTGGGCAACACAGCAAAACCCGATCTCTACAAAAAATTTGAAAAATTAGCCAGGCATGGTTGTACACATTATAGTACCAGCTACTCAGGAGGTTGAAGCAGGAGGGTCAATGTGAGCCCAGGGAGTTCAAGGATATAGTGAGCTATTGTTACACCACCACACTCCAGCCAGGGCGACAGAGCGAGAGACCTTCTCTCAAAAAATATAAAAAATAAATAATAAAATCAATTAAATTGAGAGTTCAGGTTCTATGATTTGAAAAAAACCAAGTGTAAAAGAACATTCATGAGACAAACAGGGAAATTAGAACACTGAGCAAATATTTGATAATATTAAGAAAGCTGGAAGTGCTCTGGAAATCTAAAAAGAATATTAAGAAACTGTTGTCAATTATTGTCAGATATAATAGCACTTTGTTTATAATTTTTTTAAAGTCGTTATCTTAAAGGCATATATACTGAAGTATTTACTGAAGAAATATCTTTTTTTTTTTGAGATGGAGTCTTGCTATGTCACCCAGGCTGGAGTGCAATGGTGTGATCTTGGCTCACTGCAACCTCCGCCTCCCAGGTTCAAGCAATTCTCCCACCTCAGCCTCGTGAGTAGCTAGGACTACAGGTGTGCACCACCATACCTGGCTAATTTTTGTTTTTTCAGTAGAGACGGGGTTTCACCATGTTAGACAGGATGGTATCGAACTCCTGACCTCAAGTGATCCACCCACTTCAGCCCCTGAAAATGCTGGGATTACAGGCGCAAGCCACTACGGCCAGCCTCCATGTCTACATATGTTTAAAATTCTCCATAATGTAAAAAAAAAAAAAAAGGCAGAGCGATTATAGATGCTGGAGATAGAGCTGTATCAAATACTGACTCTGCCACACACTAGCTGTGTAACCTTAGGGAAGTTATGCTCTGTCTCTGAGGTCAGTACCCTCCTGCACAAAAGGGAGCTAATAACAGCACCTTTCTCCAAGGACAGTGGTGGCATTCTGTGCTGATGGCCATAAAGTGCACAGTTCCTGGCAGACAGTAAATGCTGAGTGATGTGAGCCACTATCATCTTTTCTGCCACTCTGGACATAGCAACTTGGTGTTTTAAATTGGCCATGTCTGGAGGAAAGAAAGTCTCCTCTAAGAGAAAGCAATGACTCCAACTGCTAGCCTTGAAAAACCTATTTATTCTCTAGCCCCAAGTAAGTAATGGCTATGTTGGATGTTTAAGAGCTTTGTGGTCGAGAGCAGTGGCTCACACTAGTAATCACAACTCTGGGAGGCCGAGGTGGGTGGAGTACCTGAGGTCAGGAGTTTGAGAGCAGCCTGGCCAATATGGTGAAATCCTGTCTCTACTAAAAACAAAAATTAGCTGGGCATGGTAGTGGGTGCCTGCGATCCCAGCTACTCTGGAGGCTGAGGCAGGAGAATTGCTTGAGCCTGGGAGGCAGAGGTTGCAGTAAGCCAAGATCGTGCCACTGCACTCCAGCCTAAGCGAAAGAGTAAGACTCCGTCTCAAAAACAAAAACAAAAAAAGGCCGGGCATGGTGGCTCGTGCCTGTAATCCCAGCACTTTGCGAGGCTGAGGTGGGCGGATAACTTCGAGACCACCCTGGTCAACATGATGAAACCCTGTCTCTACTAAAAAAATGCAAGAATTAGCCAGGCATGGTGATACACACCTGTAATCCCAGCTACTCAGGAGGCAGAGGCAAGAGAATCGCTTGAACCTGGGAAGCAGAGGTTGCAGTGGGCTGAGACTGTGCCACCGTACTCCAGCCTGGGCAAAAGAGCGAGACTCCACCTCAAAAAAAAGGCCGGGCCTGGTGGCTCACACCTGTAATCCCAGCACTTTGGGAGGCCGAGGCGGGTGGATCACGAGGTCAGGAGATCGAGACCATCCTGGCTAACACGGTGAAACCCCGTCTCTACTAAAAAATACAAAAAACTAGCCGGGCAAGGTGGCGGGCGCCTGTAGTCCCAGCTACTTGGGAGGCTGAGGCAGGAGAATGGCGTAGACCCGGGAGGCGGAGCTTGCAGTGAGCTGAGATGCGGCCACTGCACTCCAGCCTGGGCGACAGAGCGAGACTCCGTCTCAAAAATAAATAAATAAATAAATACTTTTTTTGTGTAAATCTAACAAAACATGGACAAAATCTGTATATTGAAAACTACAAAAACTTTGATTTAAAACATCAGCCTGTAGTCCCAGCTACTTGGGAGGCTGAGGCAAGAGGATCACTTGAGCCCAGCAGTTTGAGTCCAGCCTAGGCAACATAGTAAGGAAAAAAAAAAATCAAAGATCTAATGTTCTGAAACATAAAAAACAACAGAATAACACAAATACATATGGCCTCACCCCTTCCACTAGCACCAGCTGGGTACAGCCCACAGAGATCTGATTGGCTTTTGTTGCTTCTTCACGGAAGACAGTGATAAGTTCCTCCAAACGCCTTAATTTTACTTCTTCCGGGACATCATCCTTCAGCCTATGATATGCCCGTGTCTTCTATTAAAAAAAAAGAGGAAACAGAGGTCACCCAGGACTTGTAGAATCTATTCTTAATGCACAGAGGGACACCATGTTCATTCTACCTACAAGTTACAGACACATGTACAGAAACCCAAGCCAGAGCCAAGAGCTTTCTCTGGCTCTGGGAGCATTCCAAGATAGAAATGTAGTGGAGTCACATTTTTGCAAGGGTTAAATTCTAAATTTAGCACATGAAAATCACAGACTCAAAATTACTCTTCATATTTATCCTAACATTACACTTATACATATACCAAATGGCTCATATACACTAGGTTACTCAGCAGCACTATTTATAAAGACATAAGATGCAATGCAGCCTAAATGTTTCATTAGGCAAGTAGTCACAGAAATTATGGTTTATCTATACAATGGAATATTGTGCAGCTATTAAACAGAATGATAGTTCTATATGTACTAATGTGGATTGTTCTCCAAAATCTACTGTTACTTGAAATAAGCAAAGTACAGATGAACACATATAACTTTGGTGTAGACAGAATACATACAGGCATGCTTATGAAAACATGAAATATCCTCAGAAAGTTATAAAAGAAATTGCGAAGAGTAGTTGCCTTAAGGGAAGGAACTAAAACATTAGGCAACCTAGGAAGAAGGAAGAACTACTCATGTACACCACTTAAACTTTTGAATTTTATACTACAAGCATGTATTACCTAGTCCAAAAGAAAAAAGGGAATTTATCCTTAAAACGCCTTTAAATCATTCAAAACCACAGTGTGTATATATATCTTTATGGCATGAGCTCATGCTCAGTACAGCTGGAGAACCACTGAGCTAGACAAAAGTATGGAATAAAAGGAGTATCTATATACCAAAGTCTGGACATTCAAACCAGTCTGCCTTGAAGAGAAGATCCACAGAGGAAAATGGAGAATCCTAAAAATATTGCAGAGTTTACTCCATTCTGTCTACTAACAACAATAACTTACCTCTGTTGTGCATTTACTATGCATGAAACACAACTGTAACTGCTTTAAACATATTATCTTACTTAATCCCCAGAACAACCCTATGAGGTTGGTACTAATGTTATCCCCATTTCACAGATGAGGAAACCAAGACATTTGCCCAATGTCACACAGTTTTTGTTTGTTTTTTGTTTTTGTTTTTGAGACAGAGTCTCGCTCTGTAGCCCAGGCTGGAGTGCAGTGACACGATCTCAGTTCACTGCAAGCTCCACCTCCCGGGTTCACGCCATTCTCCTGCCTTAGCCTCCCGAGTAGCTGGGACCACCATGCCCAGCGAATTTTTTGTATTTTTCGTAGAGACGGGGTTTCACCGTGTTAGCCAGGATGGTCCCGATCTCCTGACCTCGTGATCTGCCCACCTCGGCTTCTCAAAGTGCTGGGATTACAGGCGTGAGCCACCGCGCCCAGCCAATGTCACACAGTTATTAAGTGGCAGAGGCACAATTTGAGTGCTTGCTCTCATTCACTAGGTTCTTGATTAAGTTCCTGTAACCTTAACCCTAACTTAGGAATTCAGTCCCAAAGTGAACATTCATATTCACTGACCATAGGATGCTTCTCCCACACGCTGAAAACCCATTTCCCATCCCTAGGATTTTTTTTTTTCTTTTTTTGAGATAGGGTCTCACTCTGTTGCCAAAGTGGAGTACAGTGACACAATCTTGGCTCACCACAGCTTCAACCTCCCAGGCTCAAGTGATCTTCCCACTTCAGCCTCCCAAATAGCTGGGAACACAGGCATGTGCCACCACGCTTGGCTTTTTTTTTTTTTTTTGTAGAGACAGGGTCTCCCTGTTACCCAGGTTGGTCTGAAACTCCTGGGCTTAAGTGATCCTCCCACCTCTACCAATCCTAGTATTAAAAAGGTTTTCTCAGGCCAGGTGCAGTGGCTCACGTCTGTAATCTCAGCACTTTGGGAAACCAAGGTTGGCAGATCACGTGAGGTTAGGAGTTGGAGACCAGCCTGACCAACATGGAGAAACCCTGTCTCTACTAAAAATACAACATTAGCCGCGCGTGGTGGCACATGCCTGTAATCTCAGTTACTCAGGAGACTGAGGCAGGAGAATAGCTTGAACCCAGGAGGCAGAGGTTGCGGTGAGCTGCCATGCCATTGCACTTCAGCCTGGGCAACAAGAGCGAGACTCTGTCTCAAAAAATTAAAAAAAAGAATTTATCTTGGGAGGCTGAGGTGGGTGGATCACGAGGTCAAGAGAGCAAGACCATCTTGGCCAACATGGTGAAACCCTGTCTCTACTAAAAAATACAAAAATTAGCCGGGTATGGTGGCATGCACCAGTAATCCCAGCTACTCAGGAGGCTGAGGCAGGAGGATCGCTTGAATCCAGGGGTGAAGGTTGCAGTGAGTCAAGATCACACCTCTGCCCTCCAGCCTGGCGACAGAGCGAGACTCTGTCTCAAAAAAAAAAAAAAGAATTTCTCTTGCATATTTGTGATGTCCATGGAAAAAAAGCAAAATAGAAACTAACAGTTCCTCTGAAGCTTCATCTCTCCAAAACAATAAAAGAGACATGAATAGATACATACATCGGCACAGTTACGCTGTCCACAGAACACTATGCAGTGGCTTTAAAACAAATGAATTAGTCGAGGTGTCATGACTCACGCCTTTAATCTCAGCACTTTGGGAGACCAAGGGGGAAGGACTGCCTGAGCAAGACACTGCTTCTTAAAAAAACAAAAAAAATAGTTTGGTTGATGGCAGCTCAGTAACAATGACAATGAAGTCATGGGTTCAGTCATTCGTCAGCCAGCTTTTCTGAGACCCCTGGCCACAGGGGCCTTCAATCTCCTGCCCAAACACAAGCACACTGCCACAAAGGTGACTGAGGGAATGAGGAGTGAACCATGCAAATCCATGACTACAATCAAGAAAATGACAGTCAGCCAGGACTATCCTTCTCTGCAGGAAAAGTGCACTAATCTCTCCTTTCCTAATCTCCTTCTGCTTTGTTTTCCTGGGAATCTGTTTTGTTTCTTGGGAAGCTTCCAAGTGAGTTCACTTGCCTAGGAAAACAGAAATGAGGAACCACTGAGGATGGTTGCGAAGATGACCAGGGGCCCCGGTAAAATAAATCACACCTGCAAACCAAAAAGGAGTTCTGCATGTTAAGAAACAATCTTAGATTTCTTATAAAGAAAAGGTTTTCTCCTTCCATATTCAAATTGTAAACAATCTAAACATAATGTTAAAATATTTTAATGAAGAGGAATACTGGCACAGTAATCATGTATCACCAAACTGCTGAACTATTTCAAAGAGTAGACAGAGTGGACTAGAAAAATGAAAGGAAGTGAATCGTAAGAGCCTGTGGTTTCTCAAGGACTGCCTTGCCACCACTCTCTCTTCTGCCCAGATCTCTACAATCACCTCCAAACTGGTCAGGAATGATGTCAGTGCTCCCCAACCCCAGGACTCACCTGTCTCATGCTGTAGGCAAAGAGGAAGCCCATGTTGTACTGAACTTCCCGGAGCAAAGAGACTGTCTGGACGTGATCTTCCTCCGTCTCACCACAAAAGCCAGCAATGAAGTCGCTGCTGAGGCTCACACCTGTGACACACAGCAAAGGATGACAGGTCACTGCTGTTTACCTTCAAGGGAGGCCTTTGGCATATGTGGATTACAAGGGAGGGATAGCAACTGTAAGGCCCTCCCTAGGACTATTCAGCCCATGCATAAGTAAAACAAATAGTCAGTACAGAGTAAGGCAGGATGGGCCTCTTCATCCACAGCATTCCATGACAGAGACTAGCTTCTTGGCCTACATTTCCCCTCAGCACTAGAAAAGGTATTTCCACTTCCAGTGCTGCATTTAGGGACACAGTAGGAGTCCACATTTTCATTTTAGTCCTTTAGTTTTTACCAGTGAAAAGCTTGTGGTGTTTCATACAAAAATATATTTCTGAATTTGGTTTCATACAACAATCATTTAACACAGTAGTAGCAGCTGGGTGCAGTGGCTCACCCCTGTAATCCCAGCACTTTGAGAGACTGAGGTGGGCGGATCACTTGAGGTCAGGAGATTGAGACCAGCCTGGC